CAGTTTGTGTCTCCAACCGGGACTATAGGTCAAACCCCTTTAGTACCGGTTTGTGGCATGAACCGGTACTAAAGGTTAGCCCTTTAGTACCGGTCTGTGCCACGAACCGGTACTAAAGGTGATCGCGGGGCTCCGGCCTGACACCAGGCTGCCACCACCCATTTAGTACCGGTCGTGGCACGGACCGGTACTAAAGGGTCAAAACGAACCAGCATTAATGCATAGGCGTTCGAACCAGCACTAATGGTACCATTAGTGCCGGGCCGAAATCAAACCGGGACTAATGTGTCTCACATTAGGTCCTTTTTCTACTAGTGTACGAGTCATGAATCACCAAGCAAAGTTCTCATCGTCTCGAAGACTAGATCCACCATTACTAGGCCTCAGATCTCAACCACCATGACATTCTCCCCTACCGTCTTCACCATGGCAATCGAAATATTGACATATCCCATAATGTCAACAGACAATGAAGCTTCGTGTCACGCCCCCCTGAAGCCACATGGGCTGAAATAGTGGCGCACACAATCGAATCCCATCCGATCCAGCAATCTGTAGGCGTCAAGCACCCAATGAAAATCCCTGGCGGAGCCTTTCGGAACTCACCAAACGGCTAGATCAACGAGGACCAGCATCAAGCAGAACACCGTCTTGACACTAGAGGAACCCTAGGACCGCCGTCAGAGGGGAACGGATCCACGTCGGGAACCCCACATCTGCCGCCATCAACCACCTAGTTGGCCTTCACGCTGCTAGGGAGTGGTACCTGCCCTGGGAGCACTTCCAGATGTCACCAAACAACGCCATGAAGCCACGCCGCGCGTGTACGAGGTCGACCGCCGGTGCCGTCCGTCGATGCCATCTGGAAGGTGAGATCTGACGAGACCCTACACCATGTCTAGATCAGGCAGAATAGCCAGCAACAACCATCGATGCTTGAGCAACAACCCCGCTAGTTGCGCTACCCGCGTCCCAGGGCGTAGATCATCCTCCGGCCAGCCAAAGACCAGGCAACACCAGCGTCGCCGCAGAGCGGACTGGCAAGGCGCCCATAGCCAAGGCAACGAGGGAGGAGAGGAAGGAAAGAAGCCACCCTACCGCCACCGTGTAGTGCGAGAGGCTTTGCCCTTGCGACCCAGGCTCACGATGACGATAAGGGAGGGAGCTGGGGAGGGGTGCGCTTCCGGCGACCATGGTGGATGCCGCCTGAGTCACCCAGTGACGACGCGGGGGCCTCTCCTGTTCGATATGTTTCTGTCGTTTACTTCGCATATAAGATCTGACCGTATTTTTATTAAAAAAATCAACATATGTAATATTAAATTTATGTAGTATAAAATTTAAGTTCATGGTGCACCAAATGATATCAATTTTGTATCATAGATGTCGATATTTTTAATTATAAAGTTGGTTAAATTTTATGAAGTTTGACTACAGATAAATCTTATTACGGTGTAGAAAATGACCAAAGGGAGTATGATCAATGACGGGACAGGCCGGCCGGTGGTACGTGGCGAAACGGCGGGTTCGTACGCGTTTGCCCGCCGATCGATCGTTTGGTGCTAGTGGCCGTCCCACTACGCCACTCCACCCCACTCGCCGACGACGAGGCGACCGGCCAGTCCACACTCTCCAGCTTCCCATCCCCGGAGCAGTTGCCTGTTTAGCCGGTCACACGTACCCTACTGCCTTTATTCATTGATCGTTCGCGGGCTAGCTTAGTAGTACTACTACTAACTAACTACTATTACATGAAAATGACATGCGTGCGTGCTAATATTGTCGAATTAAGTGAACGGCCATCAGCTTGTCATGCGACACGTACGGCCATCTCGTTTGTTTGTTCCTTCTTAATTAATCACCGGGCACCTGTTGACCGGCATGCACACACACGGCAGCACTGTGGAGGAATAACAATGGCGGGTGACGTGATGTGCGTTGGATTGCTCTTTGCTCCGATTAAATTCCATGGTGCGCGACGGCGACGGGGGCCGACGCCATGGTGCCCTCCCTAGTGGGGCTGCCGGTGCGCCGCGTTTGCTCGGAGCCGGCGACACGTCCACGCGGGATCTCGATAACTACCTAATTCTAGGGAGGCACGTAACGCGCGTAGATGCATGATCGTCGTCAGGCTCGGATATATTGATTGATTGAGTAGCTTTTGGATGATTTGGACACGCCGTGCCTCGCATGCGCTCCACGTACCACGTACCACGTAGCCGACCCGTTTCTTCGGTGCTGGGCACCTAATCTGTTGCTGTTCGTTCCCTGTGAGCCCGGGTTCGTGGAGGTCACTGTTGGAGAGGAGAGTGAGTCACCACGTTTCTCCCGTCTGTCATGCACTTTTCTGCCTAACGCTGGCTGTGACTCTGAGCAAATAATATCTCGCACTGGCAAGCTGCGGTCATGGGTGATGTATACGTGGATGGATCAGAGTCGTGAAAGAGACCGCGCAAAAAAAAGAATGTAGTTCGTAGTAAGTTCAATGGCGATTTTGGGCACTGATGGTGGTGGAGTCCATTTGCCGACGGCGCATGAGAACTGCATGCGGATTCCAGCTGCCTGGATGCACAGGTCAAAGAATGTGTAGCTGGTGACAGTGAACGATCACTGGAGTAAGTCTGACTTCTTCCTTTTTTTTCTGCAAGTTGGATTAAGTCTGACTTCTGACCAAGAATGTGCGTGATCGTCCCATCTGATAGACAGGTTGACGTGCAAGAAAATCCATCCATGTACACTGCTGTTATCTCTGAAGGAGATAGGCAGATAAATCACCCTTTGAACATGCACAAATTTCAGCAAAAAAACAAAAAACAAAAAAGGGAAGTGTGGCTGCTGGTGACAGTGAACGATCACTGGAGTAAGTCTGACTTCTTCCTTTTTTTTTCTGCAAGTTGGATTAAGTCTGACTTCTGACCAAGAATGTGCATGATCGTCCCAGGTTGACGTGCAAGAAAACCCATCCATGTACACTGCTGTTATCTCTGAAGGAGATAGCCAAACATGCACAAATTTCAGCAAAGAAAACAAAAAAGGGAAGTGTGGCTGCTGGGATTCGAGCCCAGGTCTCCACGGCCACAACGTGGAATTCTCACCACTAAACTACAGCCACTTTGATGTCTCCAAAGAGTAATGAACTTATTTATAGCATACGTGTGCTCCAATACGCTTCTCAAAATAAGAAACTTTCACTTCTGTACGGATCCAAGCCCAAGACAGTCTGGATGCGTCACGGAGGCAGGCCCAGTAGGCCCGTCAGACGACGGGCCGACGGTCAAGCCCCACCAACCCCGGAGCGCGAATCTCGAGGGAAGAGACACCGGCTCAAAACCCCTCCATCGCGCATTCTTAGGGTTTCCTCTCTCTCTCTCCTCTGTCCGGGCAACTCCACCCCCAATCCCCAACCGTACCGGCGGCGGCGAGCGCCGCGACGAACCCGCGCAGCGCAGCCCAGGCGCCATGGCCGCGCCGGAGGCACCCACGTGCTACGTCGGGATCGCGCGCCAGTCCGCCGCCTTCCGCCTCATGAAGCAAATGGTACGTACGCGGTCCCTCACCCGATCACCTCCTCGGGGAAATTTACGATTAGAAAATGTGCAAATTATGAATGTTTGTTACGCCTGGACTCGAGTTGGTAAGGTAGACTACATAGAGCACCTTACCATTCAGCAATTCATTTGAGTTGCTTATATGTAGGCTAGTTTACAGTTAAATTTTCCAGGAGTTGCTATTGGTCAGTCTGTTCGTGTAGCTAGCTACTTTCGTTAATGTTACAGAGATAGAAACTTACGCGTTTTTGCTAAAGCACATCTAGATGTGCTAAACCCTATTCCATTGATTTTTTGCGAAGATTCATGCATGTATTTTTCTTTTTTCTTCTACTTTTTATGTTTGGTCGAGTCACTTAGATGTGACAGGCCCAAACTTAACATATTGTCTTAGGATTGCTATATTCAAAGTTGCAAATATAGCGAATGTGTCTACTCATAGAGAGAAGCTAAAATTTATGCTATCTCAATGTGCTGCAACTGCACATAGAGTATGATTTATCTAAATTTGTGAGATTTTTTAGCAAACCTGTGTGAGGGGTATGGATAAATTGGCGTTTGGCATTTATGTAATTTCTCCCTAATCAGATACGTTTGTCAAATTGTACTGATAGTGACTGCGCGTTGATTTAGAAATGGTATATTTTACTGATCTCTCCATGACTAGTTTTCTTCTTCTTGTGTGGTAGGGATGGGAAGAAGGTGAAGGCCTCGGGAAAGACAAGCAGGGTATAAAGGGGCATGTCAGAGTGAAACAAAAGCAGGACACACTAGGTATGCTTAGCTCTTTGTAGAAATACTGCTCGATTTGAGCATTTGTTGAGTAAAGAAGCATATTTGTCTGATTGGCCACGGGTGGGGTCGCTGAAATCCGAGTCTGTTCTCCTACGCAGGTGTTGGTGTGGACAATCCTCAGAACAAATGGGCGTATGATACCACCCAGTTTGATGATATACTAAAGAAACTGAAAGTGGTATGGCATGTAGTGATTATTTTCTTTGCTCCTTGTATGAATGAATTAAGATTCAAGTGTCTGATCATGTCCTTTTATCTTTTTCTTGTCATTTGGTAATGGCCCCTCTCTGCGCTGACAGCAATCTACAACTCCTGTTAAAGGTAGCATGAAAAGTCTGCATGTATGTTCTTTTTTTATAGTCTATTTTGTTAGTTATTGTTTAATGTTGTTAATTGTTTCTACAGAAATTGAGGATGTAAGCAGTTCACCTGACAGTACACCCAAGAAAGATAAACCTGCAAAAGATGAAGTCGCTAAAGTTACCCGGCCTCAAGGAAGGTTGGTTTGCCCCTAATTTCGGTCCTTTGATTAATATTTTCTTGTCATCACACCATTATTTCTTACAGATACAAGAAAAGGGAGAGGGGGAAAAGTGTGAGGGGTTATTCAGCAGTTGATCTTGAAGGCATACTTGTGAGTGATTCTTTTCTTGCATGTTGATTCTGTCAGGCAATCTAGTTAGTGTCGATGAACATTTGTTTCCTCCTTCAGAGTGTGTACCATGTGTTTAACCTGTAATATCTTATAAGTTTGAGACATTGTGTTGGAACAGGTTCGGAAGAAGGAAAATGATTGCGAGGTGGATCAGGAAGTTCAACCATCATGTATGGAAGAGCCTGATATCACCATCGGCAAGGGTGCAGGTTGGCAACTCATCTGCAGATGTCCTTTAACTATTTTTTCCTGGACATGATTGCAGTGCATTGCATTAGCTATCGCCCTATAATTTATTTTTGCAGAGGTGCTTGAAAATTGGAAGTTAGAATTAAAGGGTGTGTATTTGATTAAACTCTAAAGTTTCCAGAATGCTTGCTAGTTTGGCTCTGGTTATCGATAATTTTGCATGTTTTCAAATTATATAGAAGTCTGGTCGTTAGGTTTCTACTGCTATACTTAGAACAACTGCAAAATACTCCAATTTTTTTAGATTGGTGTGTGCACTGCATATAAGTTAATTATCTGCTTACTGTTGTGAGATTTGCTGATTATACTGTTGATGAACTTGGTTAGAAAGGAAGTCTATGTGCCAGCGACTGTCCTTCTATTCTGCTGCTTAACCAAAAAAGCACATTTTTATTGAATTTAAATTAGTGTGCTATTGTTCATTTCTTGTTGCTGAACTGTTCTGAAAATGTGCTATAAGAACTTCATCGAGGTTTTAGTAACTTTCAGTGTGAACTTAATGTTGATTCAGTATCCCAAGCTGAAGATGTGAACTGGTGGGGCCACAAGTTTGGATATGTATCAGGAGGCTTTTTAGGAGCAAAATCTCGCAAGAATAAAAAAGATAATTCTAATGTCCGTCAGATGTTTGGGGAAGATGATCAAGAAAATCTGTACAACCTTGTTCAGGTTAGTATGCACGACCCATAAGGTTCCCTGATGTCTTACTGTCAGCTCTGTTGTTTCTAAAATTGACCTTGAAAGGTTAAGTACCGCCCCTTGTTGGTATCTTGTCAATGCTGATGATTCTGGAAGCTTGTCAACTGCATCTAAGTACCTTGTTTGCCAATTAATTTCATTTGGCTGAGATTACATTCATACATTCTCACTTGAAGCAGTGAATTTCTGTGGATGAAATTTTGCATGGTTATGCAGTTTGTCTGATCTAATGTCATACAAACTGATATAATTCCCTGGCTGCCCCTGGTGTGCTATACCGCCCTACATGTAACGGTGGTTCATGCTTTAAGATTCACGTAGTCGTCATGTTCATTTTATGACATTTCATTTCACACCTTAAGAAAGTCGATCCTACATTGTCTAAATGTCCAAATCAAAGGTCAATGAGGCCTAGATTCAACTGCCACTCAATCATTAATTTCATTTTCAACGCCTAACATTAGAGATGCAAATTTGCAACCTTTAGGGTACCCTCCGACCCTACTTACTGCCACCAAATGAACTAAAGTTTCAGAAATGAAGTGAATTCTGAAAATTGAGCTCATTTTGTTGAACTAAAGAGGGTCCGAGGGTACCCTCAAGGTTCCAAATTTGCATGCCTACCTAACATACAGTGAAATATATTTGTAGAAGCTATACATGGGTATCACATGCTTTATAATGATGCATAGTACAGACACATAATAGCCGATTCTCAAAGCACGACCTGTGGTATATAACCAGCGGGTGTGGCCAGCATTTGTACCTCAATTCCCAATATATCCATTATTTACAAATGATCTCTCTGCAGGACAAAGCTACATCTGGAAAGCAGGGTCTTGGCATCAAGGACCTGCCGATGAAAGTTGGTGGCCAGCGTTGGAAGGGGAACAAAACCTCTCTTGGTGATAGTGATGAGGAAAATTCAACCCAGTCTGAATTATCAGAAGTGGAAGAAGATGAAGACGAGGAAGTATCTGCCAGTGATGCTAAAGTAAATGAAGTACATGTGAAAACCATAAAAGAAGTTTGTGTGGATGCTAAACCTAAAACCAAGTTCAAGAAGCTTTGCAAAAAAATTCTTCGTCAGGTATAATCTCATTTCTTCTTTCTGTGAGGCACTGAAGCTTATGGAAGCTGTTGAACACATGATGTTCATTATTTGTTACTCTTTGCAGGCTCCATCTCAGTCCATGAAATTGAAGGAGCTCAAGGAAGCTGTTGAAGAACAATCAACTATTTTGTCCGACTTCTCCTGTAGACGTGAAGCTCTATCATTCTTGAAGAGGAAGGTATATAACGCTTCAAATTGTCGTTTGGCAGGCCCTATTGATACATGTAGATTAAGCTTGTCTTGCTCATGCAAATCCATTTGGAAGTACCACTATTCTCATCTAAGCTTTTGTTGCCGTTGCTTACATCTGATTCACTTTTCTTGTCGAATTTTCCAGCTCCAGGGAAGCAAGAAATTTAATCTGGAGGGCAAAAGGGTGCATCTTGTATCATGAAGCAAATACGAAGCCTACGGGACACAATACGATTTTGCGTGTGGCTCCTGCAGTCATATATTTGTCGATTGTTGCTAAAGACAAGATACATACAGGCTGTGCACCAAGTGGCACGGTATAGATGTAAGGAGTCATAGGCCCTTGGGACGGGGGCCAAAATTTTGCAAATCTGGCTAGCTGCTGGAAATTTGAAAGTGTGTGCTGAGTCATCTGTATCGTAATATCCATGTAGCTGATGCGTCTATAGGTGTTTGTAATTTTTTTTGTTGGGTGTAGACTTGTATTTAGAGGATGGTTATGCCTATTGTGCATTGGCTGTCTCGGGTTTAGACTCGCTCATATAAGTCTCCAAACTCACTTTGCTCCATAAGTTTCCACATGCATATGATCACCAACTATTTTTTCCCCCAGCTCGGCATCTCATACAAGTCTCCAAACAAACTTTGCTCCATAAGTTTCCACATGCATATGCTCATCAACTATTTTTTCCCAGCTCGGCATCGGTGTTCATTTAGCCAACAATCTGTAGGCAGTTATGGGGATATTTGTTCAGTTAATCCCGAAAAGCATAGAGTTCTAAACCTTGTTGAACCTTGATACACCTCTCATCTTTCTGCAAATGGTTGAATCTTCTTGCATGTTTTCACTGTGCTGTCTGAATCTTCAGGATTGAGTGAATCACATTTCGAACCAATCATGTTTGTGCATTGTGAAATCATTGATCTCCACATCTAGCCTTTAGGGCTCCTTTGATACAAATGAATTTTGTTTGATTTTTGGAGGATTTGGATCCTTAGTATTTCTTTCCTAGGATAGTCGTTTCATTCGTAGCCTGAAATCCTTAGGAGTTTTTCCATAGTATTCATTTTGTTGGAAACTTTCCATCCACTCAAACCTCTATGTTGAATTCCTTTGTTTTTCTTGTGCTATCAGACACTTCCAAAATTTTATAGGGTACAAAAGGACGTGACACTTTGTTCCTGTGTTTTTCTTATTCTTGCATCTTTAGAATCCTGTGAATCAAAGAGGCCCTTGCATAGATATGACTTAGGGCATGAAGGCAAAGCGATGCCCTCTGTTACTGGATTCAAGTTGATCACTTGGATACACTACTAATATAAGTCATTCATGGTAGGACTGCATTGGAGCGATCCTCCGCGCCCTAGCCTTGTGCCGCAACGACACCCGGAGACTGGAGAGTATGTGGAAGGCCATTTGTACAGATAAATGGTTGAGCATTTCGAAGAAACTACTGACCACTCAATACATAAATAGCATGGATGCCTTACATAACATAAACATAATATACTCCCTCCGTTCCACCGCGCCCGCGTTTCCCAAAATCCAACTTTGACTGTAAATTTAACCAACGAGACCGATTGTGGCGAGGACAAAAATGATTGCGGCGGGGACAAAAATTATATCACTAAATTCATGTCGAAAATACGAATTCAGTGGTATAATTTTTGCTCCCGCCGCAGTCGGTCTCGGTAGTTAAATTTACGATCAAAGTTGAATCTTGGGAAGCGCGGGCGCACTACATTGTGAAATGGAGGGAGTAACTTGTAATACCAAGAACAGTTCACATGACATGATCTATTAAGCACAACCACCCAGATATGGCTAAATACACAGCATGGACACATCTGGAGGGTGGGCAATGGTGAGAAAATAAACATCTGGTCTGATGCATGGGTGCAAGTATAGCGGACCAGAAAATTATTACCCCCCATGGGCATGGTATCATCTCAAAAGTATGTGACCTTATCGACCCGGTAATGGGGCAATGTGGCGAGGAGTTAGTGAATGAAACATTTTCGCCTGTGGATGTTCAACATGTTATGGCTATTCCAGTTCCCACATTTTTTTTGAAAGATCCGTTTTTTTAAGAAAAGAAGGATGACTCCCGGCCTCTGCATCTAGGAGATGCATACGATCACTTTATTGATTATTCTTGAAGACCCTATAAAGTATTGCAACAATATGTCTGAAACCGTCATTTGGCAACATTGCCATTACTCCTATCCATATGATGAAGGGTGCTAGCTGGGCCCTATCATCAAAAGCCGGAAGCCCCAGCCGAGCCATATACCGGGTCTGGGGCACAAACCGGTCTGACGCACCCACATGTGTCGTCGCCGCCATCATTCCACAGGCCCGTCTTCAGAGCAGATATTGAGACTTCTACCTTGTCAGGCCACTCTACCATCGACGCCACCATGACATCAGGCATCGTCCTCCTCCTGCACGAGTCCATCTCCAAGCATCGGACGCCAAGTCCCCACTGCACCACGCTGCCAAGATCGGCCGCCATCAATGTTTAAGATGAAGCACCGCTCACCCACCCAACGTTCCCTCGAGTCCGTGTACACCCCAAGAATGACGCCCCCAAGGGAGAAACGACACAAGAGCGCCGCCGTCATCCGATCTACTGATCTAGGGTTTTCCCCGGGGTAGCAGATAGTTGTCTTGAACTTCTCCTTGGCGATGCCTTCAATAAGGAAACGCCGCAAAATAGCGCCGTCACCGCCGTCCTTGGCCAGGTTTTCACCCGGATCTGAACAGAGGACCTTCATTGAAAGATCCGGTTTTGCTGGGTTCATTGATTTAGCAAGGAGCATGCGGTAAACAAGTGATCAAGTGATCAGTGGGAGGGAACATCCCACAAATGAGATGGACGGTTTTGTTGCATGGAGTTTTAACAAAAATGGTGTGTTCTCTATCCGCTCTCGAGTGAAATCATCAGCACAACAGAAAATTGAGGCTTACTAATGTAATGGAGTGTGGAGTCTATGGGTCCCAATGGAATTTGAGACAAAATCTGGAAATTACACTGCCCTGCCAAAGTTAAGTTTTCCTTTGGGGAACACTTAGAGGGACTCTTCCCTGCCGTGTTAACTTGACAATTCAGCATATCAAGGCCTTAGGACAATGGCCGGCATTGGCGAGCTACGTGTTGAGCTGTAGGGCCCTGCCATGTTAACTTGGCAATTCAGCATATCAAGGTCTTAGGACAATGGCCGGCACTGGCGGAGCTATGTGTTGTCCCTGGATATTTTGTGAAGAAACACTGTTTTGGATGACACAATTTAAGAGAAATAGAGTATTTTGCCTCTCCAGAAAATTATATTTTGCTATTTGCCTCCTCAGTAATCCCTTGCTAGCTCCGCCGCTGATGCCCGGTGTGCAACATAGGAGCGGAAGATGTCACACACCTCCTTTTTAGATGCAGGAGAGCTTCAGAGGTTTGGCGTCTATTAGGGCTTGAAGAAATTATTGATAAAGCATGTGGTACTGATAGAGCAGGAGAACTGGTTCTTGATTTTCTGATCCAAACTCCAGCACAAGAATTTGAGCTCCTCAGCCATGTTAATTATTCATGAATTAGTGGCCATTACTGCATGGTACATTTGGTGGGAGAGGAGGAGAGTTGTTCACGGTGAAGTAACATAAAATGCAAAGCAGATGGTATCATCTATCCGAGCTATTACTGCTAATTATGTTGCTTCTTTGGCGCTCAAGGCAACACCTAAGGTGGATGGATGGTTGAAGCCCTCGGCAGGTGCCGTTTTAGGGGACAACTCCGGAAACTTTATAGTTGCGGCAACCGGAAAATCAATACATGTTAAGATGCCCTCTCTGCTGAAGCGATGGCTCTAAGGTGGGGGTTATAACCATGTGTTGCAACAAATTGATGTCAAACTCTGATAATATCGAGGTGTTAAAGACAATGAACAATGGAGGTCATTCTTTGGGAATAGTGGCTACTATCTTTCATGTTTGTTACAATCTGGCTTGCGAGTTTCCATGTACTTCCTCCGTCTGAAAATACTTGTCATCAAAATGAATAAAAAAAGATGTATTTTAGTTCTAGATACATCCATTTTTGTCCATTTTGATGACAAGTATTTTCGGACGGAGGGAGTACTTATTTTGATCAATGTAATAGGCTAGCAAATGCAGTTGCTCATGAGTTGGCTAGAATGGCTATGAGATTTCCTTTGTCTGTTTGGATAGATGATGCTCCACCAGAGCTAACCCCTCTTTCGTTGAACGATGTAATAGTTATCAAAAGCTAATAAAGAGAGGGAGTTATATTTATTAAAAAAAGCACAACGAGAGTCCCGGACACTGCACCATGCCAAAACACTAACAGATATATTTTTTTAGATCAACGACTAAACAAATAATGATTTCCCACTGCCGCACATATGACTTGGACGGGACAACGAGGGACCAAGCGACAACAACTCCACAGCCGCCTCCTCCTCCCAACCCTAGCCGCCTCCTCCTCCCAACCCTAGCTACCCCTCCTTCTCACCATCTTCCCTCCTCCCTCCCTCGCCGCCGCGTGAGGCAGCCGCCGGGCAAGCCCGGGGCGTCAAGGATGGTGGCGGCGAGGCCTCGGTTGCCCTGCTCCTGTGCGGCTCCATTGGCAAGTCACGGCCGGCTAACAGCCGTGCAGGTGGTGGATCCGGTGTCCTGACCGCGCGGGCGACGTGATCCGGTGGTCGTTGGCGGGCGACGGCGGCTTCTGCGGCGGTCGGTGTGCGCGATCTGGCGCCTCCCTTCCTCCCCTGTTTGGCGTGCGGGCCAGGCTGGTGAGGCCGCGCTTCCTCTCGATCGCCGGTTCTGTACATGTGGTGCTGCTGGTGGTGGAGATCTAGTTCGGGCGAAATCCCTAGCTGGCCATGACCGGCCGCGCCGACGGCGACGCCTGAGGGCATCGTTTCCCTTTTTGGAGGCGTCGGCATGGACTGATCTCCTCACTTCACCTTCCCCTAGGTCTCCCGGGCGAAAGCCCTAACTCCGTTGTGTGGCGGCGACGCTCACGACGCCGTTTCCTTCTTGAAGGCGCCGCTTTGGGAACCTTGGGGTTGGGTGGCGCTTGTGGGTGGTGGGCGACGGTGGTGGTGCGGCCCTTTCCTAGCATGGATTCACGTTCGTTGCTTGGAGATGGACTCGCGTAGGTGAAGGTCGTCGGCTGGCGTCGTGGTGGC